AGAACGAGCAAACTCACTGCGCGCAATTTGCATCCATTTACGAGCGGGAGAAGAATGAAAGAAGGAAAGTTAAAGTTTAATTTGCAACACTGCAACTGAAGGATACACAACACAGTGTGCCTTCCCATTTACATAATTTTATCACGTCAGATTCAGCAGCTAAATTTTATGTATCCAATCTAGCCAACTTTTCCTTCTTCCTCTCTTTCATGCAAATTGCATTACTGCGCAAATCAAATTATGAACAAAGCAAAGTGGTGAAACCAAATCACATTCAATGACACTTTGGTGACAAAATCCAAAAAAACAAAAATGAGCTCAAATCAAGCCACAACAATTCATTTCTTCAATTTCCACTTTTATTAACTTGGTGGTCATCATCAAATTGACCATCATCGCACACTGCTATTTGACAGAGATGTTGAAAGATGAGCATCAAACTCAAAGCACAATTAAAGTTGCAGATTAAAGAGCGAAATGAAAACAGAGGGAACCACTGTGTGTTTGTAGACTCGTAAGTAGTGAGCAAATAGAGAAAGAGAGAAAGATACCCGGCAAGAGTCGACACATGTGGTTCGGCTCTCATGAGCAGATGATGATGGAGATGGTGATGATGATGATTGCATTTACCAGTGTAGTGTAAAATTAATTCAACTTTACAATTATAATTCGGCTGAGGGGTACGGGACTGATGAAACAGTAGCATACTCTCTCACAGCACCATCACCACAAAAACCAACCGCTGAAACCGAATCCTCTTTCACTGATCAAAAAGACTCACAAAAAAACCAAACTTGCACTTTCTAACTGTAAATGAGCACACACAAGGAGATGTGGTATTACAGGACCAAATGACTACCCCTTTCGCTCTTTTGCTTGACCGAGTCGATTAATTAATTTTCAGCAAATGCCTTGCTTTCTTTACTTCAAAGAACAACATTCAAAACAGTAGCAAAACAAGTAGAATCATATATGAGAGAGAAAGGGAAATTAGAAAACTGCAGCTAAACTAGCACCTAATTCTCACCCACAAAATTTACCATTCTAATCACCACCTAACTTTCCTTGCAGGTCTCCTCCATCAACCGAGTGCTGCGTAATCTGGCGGCGCAGAAGGAGCAGCAGAACAGTCACAGTCACCACCACCACCACAGCAGCCATGCACAGCAGACGGCAGACGCAGTGTACGCCACTGTGGACAAACTTCGCATTCTCAATGGCCAATCGGCATGGCCGCGGGCCTCGCCCTGGTCGGCGTACACCGGCGGCGCCAGTGGACCATTTGGCGGACTGCCACCACCGCCGCCGCACTGTATGCCAACGGTGCCCGGCGCCGGGGGCGTCGGCAGCGTAGGTGGGGCGGCCAATGCGGCGAATGCTGCGGCTGCGGCAGCAGCAGCGGCCGCCGCAGCAGCCGTCGCCATCGAGAATGGCAACTCGCTCAAGAAGCGTAAGTAGATCTATTTTATATTTTGTAAACACTTTATTTTAGTTTGAAAAGAATCGCCAAATGGTATCGTCGTGGCGATCCATTTTGGCGCTACTGTGATGATGTCATAGTGGTTTTAAAACTGGAGACCTAGACGGCCAATTTTCAGCCATTATTATTAGAAACATTTTTCCTATCTTGGCCAAAGTGGCTCAAATGTTGGCAACAACAACATCAGCAGCAGCACCAAAAACCCTAGACTTTCTAGAGTAATCAGATCGCCGCGATAATGGCGCACGTAATGAGAGCGCAAGTCTTTGCGATTGTAGCAGCAATCTCAGCACTGACAGAGACAAAACCCTAATGACCACTACCAGAGAAAAAGTGGAAAAACAAAAAGAGGAAGAAGTGAACTTACGCATTTGCTTTTGTCCACGATGCTGGTAGAATTGTCGTCCGTCCGAGCCTTCCAAGCCATTAACGTCCAGTGGCCGCGGCGGCGGCAGAGCCAAAATGCAGAAGAGATTGAGGAGGCAAAGAATGAAGAGAATGCACCAGCAGCAGCAAAAAATCATTGCAGTGACAAATGCTGTTTGTGCTACTGCTGCAAACAAGCGTCCGAGAGATTGCGAGAAGAGGGAGAGAGTGGCGGGATGCATGCTCTGCTATTGCTGTTGATGCCCTTATCAGGTACTTCTGCATGAGTTACCACTTCAATGGGGGAAAGAGGCAGGGAGACAGTCAATGGAAGTGAATGAGTGAATGGCACCAAATGGGCCAAACGTACACAAAAACTACAAGGCACAGAGAGCGAAACGTCCAGAGCAAACTGGCCAGAGAAGTGTTGATGGAGATGAGGGCAGATGATAGGAGCAAGAAAAGAAGAGGGAGAGAAGAGGAGGACCAAAGCAATGGAAATGGTGGTCATCGCACTAATGAGCAGTGCTTCACATCAAACGAGCAAACGAAGGAGCTCATCGAGTTGCTGGCAGAGATTGCCTTCACTGATAGTTCAATTGGCCAAACGGTGGCTGTGGTGCTGATGGCGGCGGTGGTGGTCTTGTGGTCTAGCTCGTTTTGTGATGAGATAGACCAGCAGCTCCAGACTCAAACAGTGCTGAAAAAGTTGTCAACTTGAATCAGTGATGACATCAACAGCAACAGCGAGCCCTTTAGAGACAAAATGAGTCGTCAGGTTCAAAGTTTTTTAAAAATTCACTGTCGCAATTGCCAAAAATCTACTGAATTCAAACAACGAAATTTTTTATCATAGTAAAAGTCAATTTTAAAAACTAAAATTTTTTTAAATTACTCAATAGTAAGCACTAGATTTATAATCTTCAGCACCAAATGAATCAAAAACTTTCAACACACTTTCATCTTTGATCCCCCATCATTCTGATGTCATTAAAGAATCACCACTCCGACCGCCATTGTGTGTCCTCACAACAGAGACTTCTAATCTAAAAAGTGTGTCCATTTTCACTGGAGAGAATCCGCATCACCATAGAAAGAATAAAGAAGTGTGTGTACGAAAGTCTGTCTGTCTACGGTGACTGTGTGTGTGATCTCTCGTGTTAGGTTGGCTCAAAGCGGAGGTCTAGCTAGGTCTAGCTATCTAGCCGCCGCCATCAATTGCAACCTTCGACCCAAGGAGGACTTTAGCCACTTCAGAGGACTTTGTTCCCTTTCAGCTAGCCAGCCAGTCAGCCAGCCATTATCGGTGAGTAGCACTCGGGCAGAGAGGACTTGCTGGCGAGGGAACAAAGCGCGGATTAACTTGGTGCACTGGCAAGGCGAATGAAGTTGCAGGGCTACAAAAGCTAAGCCAACAACATGTCCAAACACACAGTGAGAGAAAAAGAGTAGCGAATCGATCTGCAAACTGAGTAATGGAGAAAATGAAGTTGCATTTTATGCAGCACGGTCATTCGCCACCGCCGTGGCTGCTGCTGCTGCTGCTGCAATCTAAATCGATACACTTCTCTCTGTCTCTTTGTCTTCTCATAATTGCCATGTCTGTGCAGATCATGTCCTCCTCCCTTCCTCCTCTTTCTTTGTCCACCGTTCCACTATCATTCCGATGGCAGCAGCAGAAGCTTTTAACCTTTGACAATCGACAAACACACACACTCAAACTATGGTGCAGCAGCAGGCACTAGGGCCCAACGTCGTTCTTGTTATTTGCTAGTTGGCTAGCATTTAATCCCTCGCGGTGAAAGCGTGATGGAAGAAAGTAGTTGGAAAGCAGTGTTAGAGAAATAAAACAGTCTCCTCCAGTTTGCCGATTTGCTGGATAAATTGAGAAAGAGGAGAAAGAGGGAGCCGGTGCACATCTCATGCACCACTCTAATCCTCCTCCTCCTTCATTCCCTCTTCTGGCAAAGTAATTATTTCTAATTACGCCATTTAATCGAACAAATCCAATTCCCGGCAATCGGCTTTGACCGGTACGGCAGCAGCAGCAGCAGCAGAAATGAATGTAGCCGTAGTTGTAATAGGAAAACATGAGCAAAGAAGCAAGTCATTTAAAGTGCCTTTTCTACTTCTCTCCCATTCCCATTCCTTTTCCCTAGACCTGGACTCCGTCGACTCGAGCACCGAGGACTCTTCTCAGCACGACGGCTCCGACGTGGACTCGGCGGCACGGCTACGGCTGAAACGCAAATTACAGCGCAATCGAACATCCTTTACGCCTGAACAAATCGAGGCACTCGAGAAAGGTAAGAGGTGCTTTCCACTGCAGAATGCTGCTGCTGCTCGCAGACAACTCTTGTCTGGCACAAATGCAATTGCCACCACTCTCAACTCTCAACTCTCCACACTCAACACTCCAATGCTGATTGCATTCTCTCTTTTTTTCTCCCTACCTTTTTTCAAACAGAATTCGAGCGAACCCACTACCCGGACGTCTTTGCCCGAGAGCGACTGGCCGCCAAGATCGACTTGCCTGAAGCCCGAATCCAGGTATGTGTTTTCGATTACGTAGAAACGGGCAACACACCGTCCGCTTTGCATGTTGCATGGAAGTGCTCGAGAAGTGCTCAGGAAAAATAAGTTGGCCACTCTGATTTGACTGGCGCCAAAGTGTGCATGTGTCTGCATGTGTCAGCAGCAGCAGCAGCAGCTATTCTTGATGTCCTGACGCAAAGACCACCGCGCGCGCAACAGCAGCACTTCTGTTTGGCTTTCTCTTCTATCCCGCCTCCAGCAACAGCCCAAATGATGCAGATGCCAGAAACCTCTTCTCCTTCTTTTCTTCTTCCTCTTTTCCATTTAGTAGACTTTTCTTTGGGTCCACCTTAGTAAAACCAGTTCTAGGTAATAGAAAAGTAGTTTTAGAACCTTTAAATCGTGCTGGTAGAACTTCTGTTAAAGTTTAGTTTGCCTGATTTTAGTTAGTTTTCAGTAGAAGTGTAGTGTGTTGCAGCGCGCGTGGTTGCTGCTGCAGTCAGTCAATCAACAGTCCCAACTTGCCCTACCTGTTTAAGTTAAAGTAAACCTGAACTGTGTGCCAATGTGAACAAAACACTAATATAGGCTTTTATCTATCACTCTATCTCTATCTCTATCTATCTACCTGCTATCTAAACAACAGGTCTGGTTCAGCAATCGCCGGGCGAAGTGGAGGCGGGAGGAGAAGCTGCGACACAATCGACACACTCGGTCCTCCTCATCGGCGTCCTCCAACGCCGTAGAGCCGCCCAACAACATTGTCGTCTCGCAGAGTGCAGCGGCGCCGGTCAGTCAGCCACAGTCGGGAGGAAATGGGGGTGATCGAAACGGATCTGATCGAGGTGGTGGTGGTGGTCAGCACAATCACAGCTCACATCAGCAGCAACAGCAGCAGAATCAACACCAGCAAACAGGCGGCTCCGGTCTCGGCTCACCGGATCTCCTTCTCGGCGGAACCGGAAGCTCTCTGCTGGACGCCCACCACCACCTCAGCTCGCCCAACCTGCCCTCCTCGGCAAACAGTCCCTCACCGGCAGCGACGGCCAACGCAGTGGCAGCGGCGGCAGCGGCAGCAGCAGCCGCCGCCGCCGTGGCCGTCTCCACTTCCGCTTCCTCTCGTGGAAATGGAGCAAACAATGGCAGCGGCAGCAGCAGCAGCGGCCTAGCGCACTCTCTCAGCTCTAACTTTGCTAATCACGCCTCTCTTTACCACTCTATTGCTCCTCCGCAGCCAATGCACTCCATGGCGGACACGTACAGGTAAGTCATTGCCAAACCACCTTTTTGAAACCTTTTAATCATAATTATTCCCGTTTCCCAACCCACTACCTCAGCTCTATGGGCATGTCCTCCTACACGAGCATGTCCAACAACATGGCCCACGCGAATCAGTGTCTGCAGCAGCAGGCAGCCGCCGCCTATCCCTTCATGACGCACCACGCCGCCTCCTCGCACATCAACAGCAACGGAGCAGGTCGAGCAGGCTCTGGGGCAGGAGGTCATCCCGGAGTGACACACCCCCATGCTCATCCATACGGAGCCATCGACCCGCTTGGCAGCCTAGGATCGGCCTATTCACGTCACCAGAGCTGTCAGTCGGCGGCGGCGCAGATGCACGCCCATGCCATGCAGAACGGCCAGTTCGGCAATGGGGGCGCCAATTCCACAGGTAAGTCAGATTTGGATTTAATTGGATTATATTTTAATGATCAAGATTAATCAAAAACCTCATCTTTTCTTTTTATCTTTTTAAACGCTTTCTCCTTAGGTCTAATCTCCCCTGGCGTTNTCCATACGGAGCCATCGACCCGCTTGGCAGCCTAGGATCGGCCTATTCACGTCACCAGAGCTGTCAGTCGGCGGCGGCGCAGATGCACGCCCATGCCATGCAGAACGGCCAGTTCGGCAATGGGGGCGCCAATTCCACAGGTAAGTCAGATTTGGATTTAATTGGATTATATTTTAATGATCAAGATTAATCAAAAACCTCATCTTTTCTTTTTATCTTTTTAAACGCTTTCTCCTTAGGTCTAATCTCCCCTGGCGTTTCCGTGCCTGTGCAGGTCCCCGGTCAGACGAATGACTCCCTCTCCAATGCAATGAGCGCCGCCAGCAACTACTGGCCACGGATTCAGTAGCAGTTATAAAGTAGGAAATTAAAGCAGTTCAACTCATAGATCAACTAAAAAAGATCATCTCATTATTGTGTCTCATCATCCTCATCCTCATTTTCATCTCCCAAAGAACACTCTTTTTTCCATCTCTTAGCCTCTTCCTTTGCCCTTCTTCTTTTTTTCCTGTCACTCTTTGATCTCAATCACCACATCACTACTCTCCCATTGAAGTCCTACCTTCCTGTACATTTTGTCTTTCCTCGTACCTGTTCCGTTATACTCATCATCGGCCACTTCAACATGAAATGAAATGAAAAAACTCGACAACTGTGTTGTAAATGTTGAATCTCTCTTTCTATTTTGTTGTAATCCTCTCACCACCTTCTCCTCTTTCACTCTCCACACTTTTCACCGCTTTCCTCAGTAGTTGACCAATCTTTTTTTTCGCATCCACTCTGTCTGTATATAGTCCTTTTCCTTTTCTCCTCATCTAATAAACAAAAAAGTGAAATCATCTCTTTTTATTGCCATTATTGCGCTAGCGTGTGTGTGAGGAAGTGTCAGTGCACGAATTGGTAACGTAACAGCCGCGCGTCAATGACCACCACCTTAAATTTATTCGTTCTCGTTGAGCTGCTGACAAAGCAAACCAGGCCGTAATTAGGCTGATAATTTGCTACCACCACCGTCGTCGTTGCCGCATGCTGCTGCCGCTAATGGAATTAGCTCAATATACAGTAATCCAATTGCCTAGGACATCAGTACCAGCAGCAGCAGCAGCAAACCCTCGGTAAGAAGTCGCTGACAGTGCTCGCTGGCTGGTTGGCATAATTTATCAGCTCACAGTTCCTTTCGACGGCTGCTACTGCCGTCTAGCTATGCTAGCTAGCTGGTGTCTCCGACGACTGACAGAATCACTCTCTTTCCCTTCCCGATTGCATATGTCCTTAGCACCAGCAGCAGCAGCGGTGCCATTTGCACTCGCAGTTTAGACCCAACTACAAACAGCAGCAACAGCATCAGCATCACCACGAAACACATGTCCTCGTTCCAGGAACAGCGGCGGCACTTGTCACGGGCACTGTCTCTGAACACTGTCTGCCCCGATGTCTCAATCAGGACAGCCAAATTTGTTGTGAATTAACTCTCGACGCTGATGGCGGGCGCTCATCAAATCGCCATTATCAGTGCATGCCATCGACACGACGGCAGCAGCAGCAGCCGAGGCCAACTGCCACCAGCAGACCTGCTTTGCCTTGCCCAGTCTCCCCAGTCCCAGTCCCAGTCCCTACAACCACAGTGGAATATAATCCTTAATCTTGGCCTGCACATCTCGCACACTGACAAACAGGCAGACAAACAGGCTGTTGAAATGGTAATTTAGCAAGAAAAGCATCATCGACAGCAGCACCAGCAGCAGCACCTAACATGCATGTCCTTGTCATCATCACACACAGCACTACAACCAATTTGCAATGTCGACAATGGCCATAAATAAAACATTTGCCTCTTGCTGTCTCGTTTTCGCTCTAATCCGACAACATTCTGTCAACATGTTTTGAGCAGTTGTCGTTGAGGTGGTCGTAATGGTGAATAGTAGTAGTCGGCAGATCAGCCCAGACAAATTAAATTGCCGATCAAATAATAAAAAGAGAGCCTGAAATAGTCATCACTAACAGCCAAACCGTTTGTCGCTGTTGGCGCCCACCGAACACAAATCAGAATAAGCACACACAGACACCAAACACCAGACAGTGAATTCCAAATTAGTATGTGCCTAGTGACCAATGTGCACCAAAAAGCAAACCAAGGCAAAGTTGAGAAAGAACCCAAATCAAATACTAACGTTCACAACGACCACCACCACTCAAAAAACATCCCATTCAGGTCAATAGTAGACGCACGACTAGAGAATAACGTCGAGAGCTGTCGCTGATAAGAGCAAAAAAAGGAGAAACTGAGCACTGGAATTAATTAATTAGGCACAAATTGGAAAAAAGAAGCAAAAAGTGAGAGAAAGAGAAAGAGAAGAAAAAGAAGAGATGTTTAAGAAAAGAAGAGTGGCCTGCTTCTATTTGAAGTTCCTCGACTGGACAGGCAAAGTATAATTTCCAGCTAATTTCAGTGACTGTGCACAGTGGGCAGATCGAAACTGTTCCTTCCCCCGCCCGCTCCTTCAAATGTCGGTGCCCAATAATAATTGGAATCGCATTGGCATCAGCAGAGAAGAGCCGCCGCCGCTAATAAATAAATAGAAGCACAGCGAATAATTCCATTCTTGGCCATTTCTTGAGCTGTCCTCCTCCGAAAGCTCTCACTCGCCGACTCTCAGCTATTTCTCATCAACGAGCTCTCCTTCTCCTTTTCCTTCTCTCAATAATTCCAATTCCATCTCCATCTCTGCCATTCACTCACTTTCTTCGCCTACTCAGTCCTGGTGCTGGTGCTGCAGACTCTGCAGCAGCGACTAATTCTAATTTCCAAATTTTACGTTTCGCCGGACAGCATAATTGCAAATGCCTAACACTGCCACTAGAACTGTGCTGAGGACTGGTGTGCCGGTGCATTCTGACTATATCTGTGTGTGTTGCCTACCACCACTCGGCCATTGGCTCCGAAAGGAGAAAAAGAAAGGAAAGGAAAGGCAAAGGAGGAATATAGCCTCAGAGTGGCACTGCTGCTGCTGATGCCATTGCTTTGACACACCAGTTCCCTCTTTCTCTCTCCGTTGTCGCCCTTTGGCTGCCACTCACCAGGACTCACCAGAACTGGCTGTCGTCCTCGGTGCAGTACAGTGGTCCCGGTGCCGTTGCCACCGCTGCTGTCAATACATCAGACCAAGATGGCAGACAGGCAGCTGCAGTTGCCGAAAAGGAAAAAAGAGAAAAAGGCAGCCAATAATCAAATTGCCTTCTCTGGCTGCCAATTTCTTCTTCGTTTTCTCCTTTTGCCACCACCACCACGGCAGTGTCAGCCAGCCGTCATTTGCTGGTGGTGCTGCTGGTGGTTCCATGGTTGGTGGAATTGCAATATTGAATGCAATTTACGAGAAACGGGAATAGAATAAGAGTGAGGATAGAAGCAGAGGATGGCTTCCAATTTACCCGAGAATCAGCGAATCAGCCCTGAAAATGCACCAGAAAATGCAGCAATAACAGCAGCAGTCATGCACTCAGTCGCCTATCCTCCCATCAGCGCACTGGAACGCTGATCGTCGGCGACACCTTCAAATTCGATCAACTGCTCAACTGAACAGCGAACATTTTAAGCAGTAAAGTAAAACTGAGCCCTGATACAGCAAAAACTTAAAAAAATCGTTGGAAAAAAATTGGAATAAAAGTAGACCACCAGCAGCAAGTCTGACCCAAATCCGAGCAGGTGACAACAGCAGCAACAACACAGATTCGAATTACCAAAACACAACTGAGCATACACATACACACATCAACTGACTTTTAAGTGACGCTCAGTGGTGTGCATCCACTCGCCTGTTTGCCCTTGGATGCGCACACTGCCGCCAATTCGATTAGCCCCTACAAAACTAAGCACAACAAAAAGGGGCCAAATTACGGTGATGGCAATGATGTTGGTGGCACCAGTCAGCCACGAGACACCAACGAGAAGAAGAAAAAGAAGAAGTAAAGCCATCACAGTAGCACGTGTAAAAGCTAGGTAGCCAGCCAGCCTAAATGCCCACCTAGCCTGGTCTTCACCTTCAGCCTGCCAGATTCAGTGGCGTTCGAGTGCACGCCAACAAAGTGGGCAATCGCTTGTAAGAAGCGTGACCTTGCCTGCCATTAGATCATCGAGAGAAAGAGAGAAAAAGAATGAAACCAACTCTCGGCTCATTAGAGCACAACTGCGGCAGCAGCAGATTGATCCATCGAATCGGTGCCCAGCACAGCAACCCAAACACAGACACAGAGAGATCGACAGACGGTGGAGAAGTGCACTGTTCAGCGAAGCGACCGAAGCCACCTCCTTACGCTGCCTGCTGCCAAACTTAACTGCGAATTTAAGTGTCTGTCTCAATTGATTGCCTCTCCTTTGCCGTCTAATTCGCCTTGCTGCTAATATTGTGACTTTTGGAGTTGGCTGGCTGGCTATTAAAACACACACACAGCCAGTCAGTCAGTCAGTCAGTGAGTCCTAGCTACCGAAAAAATGGGGAACGGGAGAGAGAAACGTCAAAAGGCGCGAAAATCGAACAAACGAAGCGAGTGCACACGAACAGAACGTGCAAAGGCCATCAATCGGGTTTGCCAGAAATGGAGAGGGCAAAGGAAAGCCAGTTTCGGACGAAAGAAGGGCTATAGGGCTGATGTCGTCGTCATTGCCAACTGCCACCAAAAAGCGAACGTGTCTCTCTGTTGTTTTATGAAAAATCAAAGTGAGAGGGAGAGGGGCCAGGCAAATGGGAAAAACAAAAACAAAGCCCGAAAGCGTGGAGACCCTCCGATCCCCTCCCCTCAACTCGGGTGACTCAATCTCACTCTTAGCCGGTGCCAAACAGCAGCATCCACCGAAGTACTACTTCGAATCTGGCCAGTGATCCGAGAGAGTAGTTCAGTTCAGCAGTGTTTCAGCAGCAGCACACTACTACTTCATGTCCATCACGGCTGAAACAGTTCCCTCTCTGCCCTTTTTGCCATTTTAATATTTTCCTTCTTTCTCTCTCTTTCCTTCCCTCTCCAAAAGCCCTGATCCAAT